GGAAGTGGGCAGGGGAAGTGGGCAGGGGAAGTGGGCAGGGGAAGTGGGCAGGGGAAGTGGGCAGGGGAAGTGGGCAGGGGAAGTGGGCAGGGGAAGTGGGCAGGGGAAGTGGGCAGGGGAAGTGGGCAGGGGAAGTGGGCAGGGGAAGTGGGCAGGGGAAGTGGGCAGGGGAAGTGGGCAGGGGAAGTGGGCAGGGGAAGTGGGCAGGGGAAGTGGGCAGGGGAAGTGGGCAGGGGAAGTGGGCAGGGGAAGTGGGCAGGGGAAGTGGGCAGGGGAAGTGGGCAGGGGAAGTGGGCAGGGGAAGTGGGCAGGGGAAGTGGGCAGGGGAAGTGGGCAGGGGAAGTGGGCAGGGGAAGTGGGCAGGGGAAGTGGGCAGGGGAAGTGGGCAGGGGAAGTGGGCAGGGGAAGTGGGCAGGGGAAGTGGGCAGGGGAAGTGGGCAGGGGAAGTGGGCAGGGGAAGTGGGCAGGGGAAGTGGGCAGGGGAAGTGGGCAGGGGAAGTGGGCAGGGGAAGTGGGGCAGGGAAGTGGGCAGGGGAAGTGGGCAGGGGAAGTGGGCAGGGGAAGTGGGCAGGGGAAGGGGCAGGGGAAGTGGGCAGGGGAAGTGGGCAGGGGAAGTGGGCAGGGGAAGTGGGCAGGGGAAGTGGGCAGGGGAAGTGGGCAGGGGAAGTGGGCAGGGGAAGTGGGCAGGGGAAGTGGGCAGGGGAAGTGGGCAGGGGAAGTGGGCAGGGGAAGTGGGCAGGGGAAGTGGGCAGGGGAAGTGGGCAGGGGAAGTGGGCAGGGGAAGTGGGCAGGGGAAGTGGGCAGGGAAGTGGGCAGGGGAAGTGGGCAGGGGAAGTGGGCAGGGGAAGTGGGCAGGGGAAGTGGGCAGGGGAAGTGGGCAGGGGAAGTGCGGCAGGGGAAGTGGGCAGGGAAGTGGGCAGGGGAAGTGGGCAGGGAAGTGGGCAGGGGAAGTGGGCAGGGGAAGTGGGCAGGGGAAGTGGGCAGGGGAAGTGGGCAGGGGAAGTGGGCAGGGGAAGTGGGCAGGGGAAGTGGGCAGGGGAAGTGGGCAGGGGAAGTGGGCAGGGGAAGTGGGCAGGGGAAGTGGGCAGGGGAAGTGGGCAGGGGAAGTGGGCAGGGGAAGTGGGCAGGGGAAGTGGGCAGGGGAAGTGGGCAGGGGAAGTGGGCAGGGGAAGTGGGCAGGGGAAGTGGGCAGGGGAAGTGGGCAGGGGAAGTGGGCAGGGGAAGTGGGCAGGGGAAGTGGGCAGGGGAAGTGGGCAGGGGAAGTGGGCAGGGGAAGTGGGCAGGGGAAGTGGGCAGGGGAAGTGGGCAGGGGAAGTGGGCAGGGGAAGTGGGCAGGGGAAGTGGGCAGGGGAAGTGGGCAGGGGAAGTGGGCAGGGGAAGTGGGCAGGGGAAGTGGGCAGGGGAAGTGGGCAGGGGAAGTGGGCAGGGGAAGTGGGCAGGGGAAGTGGGCAGGGGAAGTGGGCAGGGGAAGTGGGCAGGGGAAGTGGGCAGGGGAAGTGGGCAGGGGAAGTGGGCAGGGGAAGTGGCAGGGGAAGTGGGCAGGGGAAGTGGGCAGGGGAAGTGGGCAGGGAAGTGGGCAGGGGAAGTGGGCAGGGGAAGTGGGCAGGGGAAGTGGGCAGGGGAAGTGGGCAGGGGAAGTGGGCAGGGGAAGTGGGCAGGGGAAGTGGGCAGGGGAAGTGGGCAGGGGAAGTGGGCAGGGGAAGTGGCAGGGGAAGTGGGCAGGGGAAGTGGGCAGGGGAAGTGGGCAGGGGAAGTGGGCAGGGGAAGTGGGCAGGGGAAGTGGGCAGGGGAAGTGGGCAGGGAAGTGGGCAGGGGAAGTGGGCAGGGGAAGTGGGCAGGGGAAGTGGGCAGGGGAAGTGGCAGGGGAAGTGGGCAGGGGAAGTGGGCAGGGGAAGTGGGCAGGGAAGTGGGCAGGGGAAGTGGGCAGGGGAAGTGGGCAGGGGAAGTGGCAGGGAAGTGGCAGGGGAAGTGGGCAGGGAAGGGCAGGGGAAGTGGGCAGGGAAAGTGGGCAGGGAAGTGGGCAGGGGAGTGGCAGGGGAAGTGGGCAGGGGAAGTGGGCAGGGGAAGTGGGCAGGGGAAGTGGGCAGGGGAAGTGGGCAGGGGAAGTGGGCAGGGGAAGGGGCAGGGGAAGTGGGCAGGGGAAGTGGGCAGGGGAAGTGGGCAGGGGAAGTGGGCAGGGGAAGTGGGCAGGGAAGTGGGCAGGGAAGTGGGCAGGGGAAGTGGCAGGGGAAGTGGGCAGGGGAAGTGGGCAGGGGAAGTGGGCAGGGGAAGTGGGCAGGGGAAGTGGGCAGGGGAAGTGGGCAGGGGAAGTGGGCAGGGGAAGTGGGCAGGGGAAGTGGGCAGGGGAAGTGGGCAGGGGAAGTGGGCAGGGAAGTGGGCAGGGGAAGTGGGCAGGGGAAGTGGGCAGGGGAAGTGGGCAGGGGAAGTGGGCAGGGGAAGTGGGCAGGGAAGTGGCAGGGGAAGTGGGCAGGGAAGTGGGCAGGGGAAGTGGGCAGGGAAGTGGGCAGGGGAAGTGGGCAGGGGAAGTGGGCAGGGGAAGTGGGCAGGGGAAGTGGGCAGGGGAAGTGGGCAGGGGAAGTGGGCAGGGGAAGTGGGCAGGGGAAGTGGGCAGGGGAAGTGGGCAGGGGAAGTGGGCAGGGGAAGTGGGCAGGGGAAGTGGGCAGGGGAAGTGGGCAGGGAAGTGGGCAGGGGAAGTGGGCAGGGGAAGTGGGCAGGGGAAGTGGGCAGGGGAAGTGGGCAGGGGAAGTGGGCAGGGGAAGTGGGCAGGGGAAGTGGGCAGGGGAAGTGGGCAGGGGAAGTGGGCAGGGGAAGTGGGCAGGGGAAGTGGGCAGGGGAAGTGGGCAGGGGAAGTGGGCAGGGGAAGTGGGCAGGGGAAGTGGGCAGGGGAAGTGGGCAGGGGAAGTGGGCAGGGGAAGTGGGCAGGGGAAGTGGGCAGGGGAAGTGGGCAGGGGAAGTGGGCAGGGGGAAGTGGGCAGGGGAAGTGGGCAGGGGAAGTGGCAGGAAGTGGGCAGGGGAAGTGGGCAGGGGAAGTGGGCAGGGGAAGTGGGCAGGGGAAGTGGGCAGGGGAAGTGGGCAGGGGAAGTGGGCAGGGGAAGTGGGCAGGGGAAGTGGGCAGGGGAAGTGGGCAGGGGAAGTGGGCAGGGGAAGTGGGCAGGGGAAGTGGGCAGGGGAAGTGGGCAGGGGAAGTGGGCAGGGGAAGTGGGCAGGGGAAGTGGGCAGGGGAAGTGGGCAGGGGAAGTGGGCAGGGGAAGTGGGCAGGGGAAGTGGGCAGGGGAAGTGGGCAGGGGAAGTGGGCAGGGGAAGTGGGCAGGGGAAGTGGGCAGGGGAAGTGGGCAGGGAAGTGGGCAGGGGAAGTGGGCAGGGGAAGTGGGCAGGGGAAGTGGGCAGGGGAAGTGGGCAGGGGAAGTGGGCAGGGGAAGTGGGCAGGGAAGTGGGCAGGGGAAGTGGGCAGGGGAAGTGGGCAGGGGAAGTGGGCAGGGGAAGTGGGCAGGGGAAGTGGGCAGGGAAGTGGGCAGGGGAAGTGGGCAGGGGAAGTGGGCAGGGGAAGTGGGCAGGGGAAGTGGGCAGGGGAAGTGGGCAGGGGAAGTGGGCAGGGGAAGTGGGCAGGGGAAGTGGGCAGGGGAAGTGGGCAGGGGAAGTGGGCAGGGGAAGTGGGCAGGGGAAGTGGGCAGGGGAAGTGGGCAGGGGAAGTGGGCAGGGGAAGTGGGCAGGGGAAGTGGGCAGGGGAAGTGGGCAGGGGAAGTGGGCAGGGGAAGTGGGCAGGGGAAGTGGGCAGGGGAAGTGGGCAGGGGAAGTGGGCAGGGGAAGTGGGCAGGGGAAGTGGGCAGGGGAAGTGGGCAGGGGAAGTGGGCAGGGGAAGTGGGCAGGGGAAGTGGGCAGGGGAAGTGGGCAGGGGAAGTGGGCAGGGGAAGTGGGCAGGGGAAGTGGGCAGGGGAAGTGGGCAGGGGAAGTGGGCAGGGGAAGTGGGCAGGGGAAGTGGGGCAGGGGAAGTGGGCAGGGGAAGTGGGCAGGGGAAGTGGGCAGGGGAAGTGGGCAGGGGAAGTGGGCAGGGGAAGTGGGCAGGGGAAGTGGCAGGGGAAGTGGGCAGGGGAAGTGGGCAGGGGAAGTGGGCAGGGGAAGTGGGCAGGGGAAGTGGGCAGGGGAAGTGGGCAGGGGAAGTGGGCAGGGGAAGTGGGCAGGGGAAGTGGGCAGGGGAAGTGGGCAGGGGAAGTGGGCAGGGGAAGTGGGCAGGGGAAGTGGGCAGGGGAAGTGGGCAGGGGAAGTGGGCAGGGGAAGTGGGCAGGGGAAGTGGGCAGGGGAAGTGGGCAGGGGGAGTGGGCAGGGGAAGTGGGCAGGGGAAGTGGGCAGGGGAAGTGGGCAGGGAAGTGGGCAGGGGAAGTGGGCAGGGGAAGTGGGCAGGGGAAGTGGGCAGGGGAAGTGGGCAGGGGAAGTGGGCAGGGGAAGTGGGCAGGGGAAGTGGGCAGGGGAAGTGGGCAGGGGAAGTGGGCAGGGGAAGTGGGCAGGGGAAGTGGGCAGGGGAAGTGGGCAGGGGAAGTGGGCAGGGGAAGTGGGCAGGGGAAGTGGGCAGGGGAAGTGGGCAGGGGAAGTGGGCAGGGGAAGTGGGCAGGGGAAGTGGGCAGGGGAAGTGGGCAGGGGAAGTGGGCAGGGGAAGTGGGCAGGGGGGAGGGGAAGCGATGCATGGGGAATAAGCTGGCGAGGGAAGCTGGCAGTGTGCCGTGCGAGGGCAGTAACTTGTGGAGTTGCACCCCAGGAGGAGCATGGAAAAAACAATCAACCTACATTGCCCTATACTTCCACCACCATGCACATGGGGCGCCTGTGACACGACAACGCTTCTCTCCTTCCCACCACCCCATCTCCCCAACAAGTGTCCCTAACCAAGCCATGCCATGGAAAGCCAAGCCATGCCAAGCCATGCCATGCCATCCCTTGCGATGCCAAAGCCATGCCATCCCATGCCATGCCAAGCCATGCATGCCATGGCACGCCCCTCTCCGCCATCACCTCTCCTGCGCCGCGTCAAAGCTCGCCTCCTGGCGAGTCTCATACACCCATGCAGGTGCAAACACGGCCGCGGACGCCCCTCCCTGCAGCGCCACGCCCACCGCCTGCCCTGCATCAAAGCCCCTGGCGGCACGGCCCGGTGCGAGAAAGCAGTCCACCCCCATGAACACATCGGGCGCACGGCTGCCCGCAAGGGCCACGGAGGACAGCACCTTAGCGGGGTCCTGGTGTGGGTGGCGTGGTGGTGGGGACAGGGAGGGGAGGGTGGGGAGGGAGGGCATGGCAGGGAGGGGCGGTGGTTGCCGCAAGGGCGGGTGAAAGGAGCGTGAGCGGCGTGCAAGGCATGGCGTGTGCTGTGGTGTGTGTGGAGAATCGGTGAGGTGATGAGTGCAGCGAAAGGGGTTAGGAAGAGCCGGGGGCGAGGGAACGGAAGAAACACAGCAGCAATGCAATAGGGCAGCAGGGCAGCAGGGGAGCGGCGGCACATGTGGCAGCAGCAGCGCACCTTCCAGGAGTAGTTAGTGAAGATGCCATCACAGGCGAGGAAGAAGCAGCGGTTGGCCGGAGTGAGCGCGTCCTGCCACCTCAGCTCGCCCTCCTCCGTCACACTGTCATACCTGTGATGGGGAGAGAGGGGGGAGACAAGGGGGAGACAAGGGGGAGACAAGGGGGAGACAAGGGGGAGACAAGGGGGACACAAGGGGGAGACAAGGGGAGACAAGGGGAGACAAGGGGGAGACAAGGGGGAGACAAGGGGGAGACAAGGGGGAGACAAGGGGGAGACAAGTGGGAGACAAGGGGGAGGCAAGGGGGAGGCAAGGGGGAGACAAGGGGGAAACAAGGGGGAGACAAGGGGGAGACAAGGGGGATACAGGGGGGAGACAAGGGGGATACAGGGGGGAGACAAGGGGGATACAGGGGGGAGACAAGGGGGATACAGGGGGGATACAGGGGGGAGACAAGGGGGAGACAAGGGGGAGACAAGGGGGAGACAAGGGGGATACAGGGGGGAGACAAGGGGGATACAGGGGGGAGACAAGGGGGATACAGGGGGGATACAGGGGGGAGACAAGGGGGAGACAAGGGGGAGACAAAGGGGAGACAAGGGGAGACAAGGGGGAGGGGGAAGTGAAGGGGGAGAGAAGGTGAGAGAGAGATGGGAGAGAGGGAAGAAGAATAAGTCATGCATTTCAGCGATTAGACACGAAGCAATTAGGAGTGGTGGGTGGGGGGGGGAATGAAAAGGGACGGGGTGAAGCCAGCGGAGCCAAGGGAAACAAACGGCAGAGCAGACAAAAGGCAGTCTGATGCAGCGGGGAGCAGGGCGGCCTGGCGAGCAGGGCGGGAAGGGCGGGCAGCTGACCAGAGGACGAGGGCGTGGGGGGAGAGGGCGTGCATGTGGTGGGTGAGGGTGCGCAGGAAGTGCAGCATCGTGGGCACCCTCTCCTTCTCCACCGCGTTCTCTATGTTCACCTGCCACGTGCCATGCGGTTGGGTCGGGTGCAGTGGGGTGGCAGGGATGCTTGATGTGTGATGTGAGGTGATGATGAGCAATGAGCAGGGAAGTGAATGGTGGGATATGGTGTGAGTGGAGATAATAGAATGCACGCGAAGCAAGTGGCAAGCGCACAGCTTGTGGGAGAGGACTCGTCCTAACGTGAGCAGAGCAGGGTGCAGCATGGCAACATGGGAACGTGGCCCAGACGAAAGGCAGCAGCAAGGAGCACCGGACGCCATCCCATCCACCACAGGCGCCCTCAAAAAAAAAAAAAACACTACATCCATCAGACAACACCCCACACCCCACCTCGTCCCACCCCATCCCTGCCCCACAGCCCCCATGCCCCACATACTCCGCCCTTCTCCCTTCCCCCCTTCCCCGCTCTCCTCCACCCTATTCCCCTTCCCCCCCAGCAGCCCGGCAGTACAAGCCAGCCATGGAAGCCATGGTAGTGCGCGACGAGGGCGAGCTGGTGGGCCGCGCGGGCAGCAGTGGCGCGCGAGGCGAGCAGCTGCCGGCACACTTCAGCTCCTGCCTCCCACTCCGTGATGAACGTGCCCAGTACCTGGAGGTGGGGGGAAAGGTGGGGGGGGGGGCGGAAAGGTGGGGAGGGGGAGGGGAAGAGAAGGGGTGAGGGGAAGGGAAGGGGGGCAGAACAGTGCTGGCTCACATGTCATGGCGTGTGAGCGGCCCATGCGAGGCCACACAGAGGTGCATTCGGAAGTGGGGGAGGACGCGTGCATGGGTGGCTTGGTTATGCCAGGAACGAAAGGTTGTGCAATGGCAGGATGGCATCGTGGCAAAAGGCGCATGGAGCGACACAGCAACGACACGCCTTTGATCGTTCTATTATCCTCGGCCGCACATCCCGCCGCCGAACCCCTCTCCGCATTCTCCCTCTCCGCCGCTCCCCCCACCGCTCTCAACCAAGCGCACCTCCACTCGCACCATGCATTGCCATTACCCCGTCGCCTCTACCCGCATCCCTACCCCCGTGCGCACCTGCACGCCGTGCGTGCGGCAGCAGTTGCTCCACGCCACGGGCGGCAGCGTCACCAGGTGGTGGCTGAAGTAAACCCACACGTCCACCGAGTCCCACTCCCACGCACGGTACACCTCGCTGCGCGCGCTCCCCTGCGCGCGCGCGTCCTCCACGTACCCCCCCATCATGTCGTGGCACGCTAACACCCGCTGCCGCCGCCGCCGCGGAAGCTCGCCGCGCGCCGCGCCGGGCGCGCTCCGCGCGCGGAAGGGCGCGGTGGCGCGGTTGTAGATTCCGCACGTGGCGGGGCTGCTGGGGCGCCAATGGAGAAGCTGGTCGAGGGACGTGAGGGGCGCGCAGACGGGCGCCACTGGCGGGGACGGCGGGACGGGGGGAAGCGGATCGGCGGAAGCGTCTGCCATGGAGTGCGGTGGTGGTGAGGATGAGCCGCAGTGACTGGAGGGAGCCGCGCGGAATAGGGGGGGGGGGGGGGGGTGTGAGAGGCAGAAGGGAGAGATGATCGTCCCCCGTCTTCAGCGCGCCATACGGGTAAGAGAGGAGGGAAAACCCCTAGGTCATCGGCACTAGGTCCAGACGAGATGCGATGCAAGCATGTTTCCTGGCTCAGGATAAATATGTTCGTTTTCAGCCCAAATATAACGCCTCGCTACCCACTGGGTCAAAACGAGGGTTATATTTGAGGCGTAGCGGAGGCACTAGGAGGTGTCATGCGAGCTGGTCCGTGACTAGAATTCAGAGTGTGTCTCATGTGACTGATCCGCGCAACCCAGTCTGTTGCTATGGTCCGAATTCTGGTTCGACGGACCCATTTGGCAGACCAGCCATGGACCAGAAGCGGACTGGTCTGCTTGATATGTTCCAGGGAAATTAGGACGTGGTGCAGATCGGGGCGACCTGAGGCTGATTGCCTTGATCCCGCGATCAACAATTTCCGAGAAGGTCCAAGGGGTACTTTTGGGCAATCGGGGGCAATCTGTCGATCGCATTTGAGATCACGATCGATTGCCTCGATCTGATGCAATCGAATGCAACCGATCACGATCGAATGGCGAATGGCGAATATGCGCGACCACCGTCGCTGACGTTCGCTTCTGCTCGCTGCTACAAAACATCTCGCGACAGTCGAACTTTCCAGACTGAACCTCTGAACCAATCAACACAGCCCCAATGAAAATCAATGTGACACGCGTAATAGGGCAACACTGTAATTTCGCGGTACAGATGTACTCGCTTGATTTCGCCAAATTTGAGCTGGAAAGTACATATTACTACCCTGGAAGGCGCGGTTGATGTTTCGTCTTGTTTCGACGAAAATCAGGGTCAGTTCGCGCGGCGCGGGAAGCGATCGATGATTGCGTCAGATCGGGGCGATCACACCCAATCGCTCGCAATCTGATCCAATTGACCACCGATTGCGTGAGATCGAGGCGATCTGCACCACGTCCTTATCGACTGGTCACATATATGGCCGGTTTGTCAAGGATGGTCAATCGGCTATTGTGAACGGTCACAACCAGGGGTATTGCTATGATTTTTGCTAGCTCGGACAATCCGGGCCCCTGCAAAAAAAACCTTATAAAAATCCGAGCCAGCGGAAAAAAAGCCTTCACGAATCTGAGTTCGAGCCAGAAAATGCCTGAAAACCCACCTTACCAGAATTTCGTGGGATGGGGGGGATTTTAGAGAGTCATAGTGGGGCTGTTCGCCAGCACCAATGAAGCAAAAAACCATGGGAAAACGACGGGATTAGGAAGGTGGGTCTCGCCTTCCTGATCCCGTCAGTTAGGGTTCGTTTACCTCCGTCAGCCTGGTCAGCCCGTAAAAAAGGTGCCGAGCCTCCCCAACCGTCCAAACCAACAATCGAAGTGGGTGTCTGGCGAACGCCCCCATTTGTCCACCAAAACGAACTGCTCGACGGCAAATGGAGCGGGGACGCAACTTTGTCCCCAGGCAAGGTTCCATCCCCAAGCCATGCCATCGCCATGCCCAGTTTTTCGAAGCACAGCGATGGCATGGCCGTCGCATTGCCGTTCAGAGGGAAACCTCTAAACAGGCCATTTGTTTGACAAAGGGGGGTTCGAATACCCCCCATTTTTCCCCTCCCTAACACACCTTCGAGGTGGCGGGGGTTCTGTTTGAGCGGGGTGGGTTTTATTTGCGTTTTTTACCCACGTTGAGCAATTTTTGGTCAGCGGGCAACACAAGGGTCAGCGAGGCTAAACTTTCGCGCTATTGGGGGGAAGGTGGGGATGGACCTTCCCGATGCGGTTGCGTAATTTCGCCTTTCGGGCGCGCGAAGTTTATGGAGCGGCATTACGCCCAAACCTCGGAGGAGGGTTCCGCCCCCGTTTCCAGATGCGGTCGCGATGCCGATGCCATCGTTTTCTGTTCAAGAAACGATTTGCTGGCGAACAGCACCAGCGGAAAGGCTCGAAGGCTGGAAAGGTTGGAGATGTACGAGTGGCTCTAGAGGGGAGGGAGAGAGACTTTTGGTTAACTTAGAAAATGTTAGATATGGAAGGGAAATCAAGCACCTGGAACCAAGAGCGAATGCTAAAGGAGTTCCATTGAGAGTGGCATGTGCGTTGTACACAAAGAGAGGGAGACTGAATAAAAAGCAGATCTGGAAGAAAAAATGTTGTTAAAACTATCCGGGTCCCCTCTAAAATATCCTGGAGTGATTCGAGTGAGCTCAAGAATCACCCTTCAGTTTTACGGGTTGGTCCCAAAATCACCTAGTGAAAATCAGGGTTCCTCTAAGAAACACCTTAAAATTGTCAAAAATGCTAGACAGAAAGTTAGAACAGGAAAGAGGGGTTGCACTAGCAAGCAGTTGAGTACATATAGGAAACCCTAAATTGGGCTGTACTCGCTATAGAGTACCCCACTGCAGGCTAGACAAATACAACATTCTGACACACCCCCATAGCCAAAGTGGGGTGTAATCAGCACAACAAGCAGGCAGAGCAATAGTTCACAATGATAAGCAAAGCTAGAGGCATTCACAAAGTGCAAGTGAGGAGGAGGAGTGACTGTGAGGGGAGAGGAGATGGTGGGCGGCAGCTGAAGCTGCTGGCACACGGCGCAACTGGAGCAACTGGCACACGGGCAACTGGAGTAACTGGCTCCGCGGCTAGACGAGCGGAAGGAGCAACTGACTCATGGGCGACTGGAGCAACGGGCTCACGGGCAACTGGAGCGACGGGCTCACGGGCGACTGGTGCAACGGTCTCACGGGCGACTGGAGCTGCTGGCTTCACGGCGGCCACCCCCCCTTCAACCTCCCCAAGCTGTCCTACACCCCTTTTACACACCCACTGCTGCACCCCTAGCTCCACTCCTACGGCACTCCCTTAGCACCACTCCTCCGGCTCCCACACATCCACCCCCCTCAGCGGCAGCTGCAGTAGTGGGAGACGGAGGAGGAGGAGGAGAAGCGAGTGGCGATGCACACACACCCGCCACCCCCAGAATCGGCACCGCGCAGTTGCACGAGGGCAGGGAGCGGTGCGCGGCTCCACAAGGCAGCACGCGCTGGCTGCAGGGGCGGCTCGCGGGCTGGTGGGGCGGCTCGCGGGCTGTAGGGGCGGCTCGCGAGCTGCAGGGGGGGGAGCGTGCGGGCCCCCCGAGGGCGCCACGGCGGGTGACGGGAGGGGGGGCCGCGCGCGGGCCCCCGAGGGCGCCTCGACGGGCGACGGGAGGGGCTGCGCGCGGGCCCCCAGGGCACCTCGACGGGCGACGGGAGGGGGGGCGACGCGCGGGCCCCAGGGCGCCGCGACGAGGCGACGGGAGGGGACGACGCGCGGGCCCCCAGGGCGCCGCGACGAGGCGACGGGAGGGGACGACGCGCGGGCCCCCAAGGCGCCGCGACAAGGCGACGAGAGGGGGCAGCGCGCGGGCCCCCAAGGTGCCGCGACGAGGCGACGGGAGGGGACGGCGCGCGGGCCCCCAGGGCGCCGCGACAAGGCGACGGGAGGGGGGGGGGGGGGGGGGGGGGGGGGGGGGCGCACGGGTCCCTGGGGGCGCCGTGACGGGCGACGAAAAGCAGTGCGCGGGTCCCCGGGGGCGCCGCGACGGGCAGGGCAGGGCGCCGCGCGACGAGCAGAAAACCGCCGCGCGCCCCGAGCGCACGGCGGGAAGAAAAAACGCCGCGCACCCCGAGCGCGCGGCAGGCAGGAAAGGTCGCACGCACGAGGCGCGCGATAGGAAGGACAGCAGCGGAAGACGTAGGTGGGCCCATCCACAGGATCGACCCGAGAGGGTCGACCTGCTCTGATACCATGTCAGAAATGCTAGACAGAAAGTTAGAAGAGGAAAGAGGAGTTGCACTAGCAAGCAGTTGAATACATATAGGAAACCCTAAATTGGGTTGTACTCGCTATAGAGTACCCCACTGCAGGCTAGACAAATACAACATTCTGACAAAAATTTCAATCAAAACAGGGTAATTGCCCTGATAATATAGGCCCTGGTCAAAACACGTTGGGAATCTATTATGGATTATTACACCACTATAACGGATACTCACATCATTATAATCCCGGTAAACACATGCCTACATATAGTGTGTATAGTCCGAACTGTTATAACAAATTTGAATCGAGTGACTTATTATTTCAAATATGACACCATATCCATTGGTATAACAAATATAACAAAGGATTTTTTTTTTAATATAATCAATTAAATGTTTGTTATTTAGTTTGAACTGTAGCAGCCAAAACTGCATCTATTTTAGACAATAATGCGGAAATAGTCGCGACATTAATTTAGATGTAACAAATTTTCGCAGTGCTACGCACAAAATATGTGGGCCCTGAATCCGTATAATGACTTAAGACATTTCATTTTCCGATTGAGCATTTCATCTGTGACCAAACGTGGTAGTGTTGTAGGCCAATGTGTAACTATATGAATGATGTGATCATACGCAATAGGTTTCCCACGCACTGTGACCGTTCGCGATAGCGCACTGCCCATATATATGGCCAGCCATATAATTTCCCCAAAATCAATGGCATCGATGTAGTGTCATTCGAACATTGGGGGGTGAGTTCGAAATTTAGTCCCATCCTTCGATGGTTCGTAAGTTGGTCCACCAGGTTTGTGTCGGACCTGTGGAGAGTCACTTGAGTGAGCTAGACCACTGGGGGGTAGGCACGAACCACTAAGAGTTATCGTAGCTTTGCTTGCGTTCTTTAGCACTTGCACATTTAGGGAGAAGTTGGCAAGAGTTTCATTAGCAAAGTTGGAATTGCAGAATGATGAAGTTCACAATGACAAGAATGACTATATCAGGCACCTAGCAACTCTGCAGCTAGCCTGGTCGACCACCAGCACTGCATGGTCGACCGCCTGCCAGCGTTGTGTAGAGGAGCCGCGCCAAGACTGGAGAAAGGTG